TGAGGGCCTCCGGCATCTCCTCTCCGAGGGACTGGGACCTCTTCTCTCCCAGGGACTGCGAAGTCGCCTCTCTGAGGGACTGTGGCTCCTCGCTTAGGGACTTGGACCTCTCCTCCGAGGGACTGCGAATTCGCCTTTCCAAGGGACTGGGCCGGCTCCTCTCAGAGGGACTGCGGAGAGTTCTCTCCGAGGAACTGTGGTGGTGTCCCTGAGAAGGGGTGCGCTGGCTCCTCTCAGAGGGATTTTGTCGGGTTCTGTCCCTGTGGGAGCTGTGGTGGTTTTGCACCTTGTGTGTGTGCTTCTCTTTGAGATGACTTTTCGGAGTTCTCTTCCGAAGGGAACCAGGTAGATTTTTCTGTTGAACCTGAAATTTGGTTCCTGGTTTAGGCAAGTTCTTAGACTCTTGGCTAGAGATTTCATCTCTGTGGTTTTTCTTTGCATTGCTGCTACGGACGTTTTGAACTGTACCCACAGGCTGCGTGGTTAAGGTAGTGTGGAAAGTAATTCCTCTTTGGGAAGCTGTTAGCTTGGGCAGTTGTCGAGGTCTGGGACGGGAAGAGCTAGATCTTTTTGACTGATGAGCTAATCTGCGTTGGTCTGTCCCTCCCCAAAATATGTCCTCCTGCTTAGTGATTGGGCTTGTTGGCCTTTGCTTGACAACTGGCATCCTCTTTCTTTTGCTATCTCTTGGTGAGTGATAGTCCTTAGATTTTTGTTGTAAATTGTCTATCCTTGCCCTATCCTCAGGCTTCTGTCCCACAAAAGGCATAATTCTGTGTGCTGTTTGGAATATCTGCTTTAGGCCTTGAAAAAGCAGTTGCATGAACTTGGGATGAGAGGATATCTTAGGTTGTCTTTTTAAAGAAGCAGTACTTGTCTGAGCTTCTCCAATCCTTTTCCTCCTTAAAGGGGCTGCTGGTAATTCCCTAGAAGTACTTTCTGTTGTGGTTCTACTGTATGTATTGAACTTTGTGTGTTGTGATCTAAATCCCTTTGTGATTCTTTTCCTTGGATATTTTGAATCAGAGGTCTTTTTTGTTCTCGCTCTGGTGCATTTCTCATCATGTTTGCTTTCAAAATCACTCTCTGACAGGGAGTGGACTTTAGGAAATTCATAGTGCTCAGACTCTCCAATTTCTGTCTTTCTGACTAATTCAGGGTTGCTCCATTGCTTTCTCCCAATGTGAACTTGGGAAGGAGCAGGAGACTGGGAAGATCCAGACTGAAAATCTATTGTGGGACCAAAACTCTTGGAAGCTAGAGGATAGATTTTAGCTTTCTTTTGTGATGGTGATATAGGACTTCTTGGTATGGTGTGTCTTTCTCTTCCATGATACTTTGAGACTTGAAGTCTTTTCCCAGTTCTCAACCTAAAGCCAAGATGCAGCCGAACCTTACCATGGCCTTCAGGAGTGTTCACACGGTGGAGCTGTGGATAGATAAGAATGTAAGGTCCAAAAGTAGTCTGTAATTTATGATTGCAATTAAATCCTGAACACTGGCCACACTGTAGGCAGATGGGATATTTTAGGACAAGACCTGAAGCTAGAGGTGGAGGCACATTAGGAGGTATTTGACTCCTTATGAGCTTTGCTGCAATTTTTAGCTGCAGATCTTGTAGCAGGTGGGACTGTTCTGAGAAATCATTCTTGCCCTGAGAAAGACAGCTTGATTTTTGGAAGTGTAGAGGCTCAAAAATCCTTTTCTGTGAATCACAGAGTGATTCTTCACAGGGAATAAGAGATTCCTTATTGTGAAATATTCCATGGAAAGTTTCTGACTCTACTTGGGTAGGAAGCTGGCCCCCTACACATGAAACTGGCATGTACTCAGTGACTTCCTGGGACTTATCACTGAGCTTTGAGTTTGTTTTCTTTATTCTCAATCTAGTGCCAGAGTATTGATGTATTATGGAAGATGTGAAGCCACGTGTCCACATCCTTAAGCCCATTCTTTTTTCATAACCATGGCATAAAGCATGCCTCTGAATATAGTTTTTGAACACTGAAGGCTTTGAAACGGTATCTGGACCCTTCTCTAGCAGGGTCTTGGAAAATTCCATCAGTTCAGCTGGAACCCCAAATAAATTCTGAACAGATTGACAGATATCTGCAGTGGCTCTTTTTGCTAAACATGTTTGAGAACAAAGCTTCCTTTCCATAGTGGTCCCTAAGACATTCCCCAGTGTTAACATAGTGGAGAGATATTTTCTAGGTAGTCTCTGCCTGTGGGCATGTCGCTCCCAGACATTCTGTCGTCTCCCCAAGAAAGATTGAACAGTGCCTCTTTGAGGCCGAAAAGTCCCAGGTGGTGATCTCCAGCTTTGTAGTGGATGTTGGGAATAGTTCTTCAGTGAGTCTTCTAATTCCTCCATCTGCTTCCTTGTAGTTCTTTCCTTAGATACGATATCCAATCCCAGGATTTCAGGGTGTGGGGTTTCCACGGTGTTCATTGTCTTGTCATAGGGTTCATGATGAAGAGCCAAGGGAAGGGCTGAAGACTGTATCAGCAAAGGGTCTATGTAGTATTCTTCATGTTGCAAAATATCCATCCCAAGATTTTTCACATCCATAGCTCTCAATACCTTTGACATCCCAGAATCCTGAAGTTCTCCTAATTTGTGTGTTTTAACAGAACTTGGAAAGATAGATGAGGTTGAAGGGTTGTGAGGGAATCTAGAGAAATAATTCTTAATTCGTAACTCTTCTCCTGATGTTGATTCCTCAGACTCCTCATTCTGGTACACCTGTCCTTGATTCAAATCCTCATATTTCATGACCTTAGGCGGCTCTTCTGTTAGCCCTATGGATTTTTCAAGCTGAAGCCTTTGCTCATGAGTCACTACTCGAAGTTCCTCAAATAAAGATGTTTGTTGTGAGGCTAATTCTGCAGATTTTACTTGAATATTTGGAGTTGGGGTTAATTCTACAGGTTTTATCAGTTCTTGAAGATTTGGCTGTAAAGAAGAATTTGAAGATTTTGGGTGTAAATCTAAGCAATCTGTTACTTCAGTCCCTGATTCTATGGCTGCTCCTATTGGTTCTACAACCTGAGGAATTGGTACTGCTGCTAATTGCTCAGATTTTACAATTTGAAACAGTGGCCCTGGGATTAGCACAGTCTTTACAATTTGAAACCCTCTCAACTCCATTGTTTCCAAAATTTGATGTGTTGGCTTGGTGATTAATTTATTAGATTTCACATTTTGTAACCATGGGCTGGGGGTAAGCTCTGAAGGTCTCACATCTTGTAATTTTGGAGTCAACTCAGCATATCCTGATGTTTGAGAGGCTGGCCCTGGCGCTGTTACAGATGTCACAACTTGAATTGGTGGCCCAGAGATGACTTTCACAGATTCAGTCACTTTTTGGGGAGCCTCTGGGGTTATACCTACTGATTGAATGACATGAAGCTGTGTTTTTGCACATTCTGTGACTTGATCTAGTGGTTTGGGGCTAATCCTCATGAATTTTATAGTTTGACCAAGTGGTCCTGCTGGGGCTATCCCTGAATTTTTCATATTTTGATTCTGTGGCTTTGTTAGTTCAAATGATACCACTCCTTCCTGCCTTGTCTCAGAGGTGAGCTCTGCAGATTCTGTATGTGTCACACTTTGACTTATTTGTTTTGGGGGCAACTTTAAAGATTCTTCCATCTGTGGCCATTGCTTAAAGGTCAAACTTACAGATTCTGGGGCTTGATATCCTAACTTTAATGTTTTTCCTGAAGCTCTTTCACAATCTTGTGACTTTGGAGTCAATTCTGTAGGTTCCTCAGAAGTCAGCCCTACAGATCCAGGAACTTGAGGTCCTAGCCCTGGTGTCATTCCCGAAGCAGAGTCTGGGAAATGATATAATGACTTTGGTATCAGTATTAAAGATTCTTCCTTTTGAGATCTTTTCTCAGAAATTATTCCCATGCATTGTATGGCTTGAGGACAGATCCTTGGAGATTTGTCTGCATATCCAGTGGCTTGACTGATTGGCTCTGAGGTCATTCCAAGAAATTCCTTCCCTTGCAGCTTTGCATCACAGGTACCTTCTATAACATGATGTTTGAGCTCTGGGGTCATCTCTTCAGATTCTATAACTTGCTGCAGTGGCTTTATGTATAGCCCTCCCAAAGCTTTCAGTTGAGGCCAAGACTGAGAGAACACTTCCAGTGTTGCTGGAATTTCGTGGTTTTTACCTGTGGTTAATTCTAAGTATTCTGACCCTTGATCACTCGGCACTGAAGTCAGATCGACAAATTCTGGTACTTGAAGATCTAATTGCAGAGACATCCTTGAAGATTCCATGGCTTTACCTGTTGGCTTTGGGGTCAACCCCACAAATTCCTCTATAGTTTCTATGTCTTTATGTGCCAACCCTTCTGTTATTTCCAAAGATTCTGTGGCTTGATGTATCGGTATTGAAATCAGATTCACATATTCAGGGACTAGATGCCTTGGTTTTGACGTCATCTCTGCATATTCTATAAAGTGATGCCCTGTTCTAGGGATTGTTTCAAAGGTTTCTGTGATTTGGTAACTTGCTCTCAGAGACTGATTCCCAGATTTCACTTTTTGAGGCAGTAGCCTTGGCGCTAACTCCACAGATTTTGCAACTTGCTGCAGATATAATGAAGATAATTCCACGTGCTTTATGCTTTGCAACTTTGGCTCTGAAGTAAACTCCAAAGAATTTAGACCTTGTTGCTGTGTTTCTGGAAACAAATTTGAAAACTTGACACTAGTTAGTGCTGGTCCTGGTAGATTCCTAGTTGGCTCTGGTGCCAACACTACTGATTTCACACCTTGCCATCCTAAATTCAACTCTTGGCTATTTATACCGTGCTGTTGGGATCCTGTCCTCAGCTCCGCAGATTGCAAATTTTGAACATTTAAGTCTGGTACAAGCACCTCACATTTTAAATCCTGCAGTTCAGAGCCTGAAATCAATTTTACAGAGTCTGCACCAGAAAGTAATGATTGTTTGCTTATCTCCTCACACTTTACATCTTTAAGCAGTGGATCTGGTAAAACTACCACAGATTTCACACCATTTAGTGGCGGCCCTAAAGTGAGCACAGGTTGTGCAACTTACTGCTTCCACTGAAGCTGGCTCTCCAAAAATTGGACTCCTTGAAACGTTGCCCCTGGAGTTAACTCCGAAGATTTCATACCTTGAAAGATTAGTTGAGAGTTGACCATTATAGATGTATTGCTTTGAATTTTTGTCCTTGAATTCAGCTCACACGATTTCATTCCTTGAAGTTTTGAAACTGGAGTTAATCCAGGTTTCACGTCTTACAAATGTGGCCCAAGGTTGCACCCAGAAGAATTTACACACTGAGATTTTGGCCCTAAAAAAGATGTAAAAGAATTCACACCCTGCAAGTGTGGCCCAGGGTTACATCCAGCAGAATTTACACACTGAGGTTTTGGCCCTGGAGTACATGCAAAAGAATCCACTCCTTGCAAATGTGGCTCAGGGTTGCACCCAGTAGACGTCATACATTGAAGTTTTGGCTTAGGAGAGGATGAAAAGGAATCTACATCCTTCAAATATGGCCCAGGGTTGCACCCAGTAGAATTTACACACTGAGGTCTTGGCCCTGAAGAAGAGGCAGAAGTAGTCACATCCTGTAAATATGGGTCAGGGTTGCACCCAGTAGAATTTACACACAGGTTTTGGCCCTGAAGTGCATGCAGAAGAATTAACACTTTGTAAATGTGGCTCAGAGTTACACCCGGTAGAATTTACACACTGAAATTTTGACCCTGGAGTGTGTGCAGAAGAATCCACACCCTACAAATATGGCTCAGGATTGCACCCAGTAGAATTTGCACACTGAAGTTTTGGTCCTGGAATGGGTGCAGAAGAGTTTATACCTTGCAAATGTGGTTCAAGGCAGAGCACCTCAGATTTTATATCTTGAAGCTCTGTTGTAGGTTTCAACTCAGAGGATTCTTCGGAGCCATCATTGACCCCTGTGTAGTTCATTGTTGGATGGTTTATAGACTCGCATTTCACACCTTGCAACTCAATGCTTGGGTTGAATTCCACAGATTGCATACTTTCATCATATATTTGTGGTATCAATATAGACAATTTCCTATTTTGAAATGGTGGAGCAGAGTTAGACCTCAAAGATTTTCTATCTTGTGTCTTACTTAGAGTCACCTGAAAAGATTTTATATCTTGCTGTAGTAACTGAGACATAACTCTCACACATTTTTCTTTTTGAAGCTTTGTTTCTGGGATTATGACAGATTTCGCACCCTGCAAATATGGTCTAGAAGGAAACTCTATAGATTTTATATGTTTAAACTGTGTCCCTGGGATTAGCTTAGAATATTTCACGTCTTGCAACTGGGGGCCCAAGTAGAATTTTGCAGATTCCCCACCTTCAAGCTTTGTCTTTGGTATTAAAGCCGATGTTGTATCTTGTAACTTTAGACCATGGTTGAACTCTATAGATTTCACATCTTGAAACTTTGTCCCTTGAACCAACTCAGAAGATTTTTGGCTTTGAATCTGTGGTCCAAAGTTGGAATCTTGAAGTTTTGTCCCTGGTGCCGCTTCAAAAGCTTTTTTACTTTTAAAGTGTTGTCCAGATTTCATACCTGGAAAGTCCTTCCCCAGGATGCAATCACATGGTAACTTTGGGCTAGATTTGATTTCTACATATTTCACACCTTGAAGCTTTTCCCCTAGGATCACTTCAGAAGATTTCTCACCTTGTAAGTGTGGTTCAGAACTGAAATCCATAGATTTTGTATCTTGAAGCTTTGTACCCATGATCAACCTAGAAGATTTCATATCTTGCAACTGTGGGCCTGAGTTGAATTCCAACAGTTTTGTTTCTTGAAGCTTTGTCCTAGGTATTGACTCAGAAGATTTTACTCCTTCAGACTGTGGCTGAGGTTTGAAGTCTGTAGATTTGACACCTTGAATCTTTTTTTCCATGGTCAAATCAGAAAATGGTGTACCTTTCAACTGTGAGCTGGGGCTTAACTGAATACATTTTTTATATTGGGACTTTGTCTTAGGTGTCAGTTTAGAACATTTTGTACTTTGCCATGGGGGCCCAGAGTTGATCTCCTCAGATTTCATACCTTGAGGCTTTGTCTGAAGAGCCAATTCAGGTGATTTTGTACTTTTCAAGGGTAGTAGAGAGTTGAGCTCTACAATTTTATCACTTTGTAATTGTGGCTGTTGGCTTAATATCCTGGATTTCTCTTCTTGAAGCTGTGGCTCTTGCATGAACACTACAGACTTCGTACATCGAAGCTGTGTTCCTGGGGATGACTCTAAGGGTTTCACTTGTAGCTGTAGTCCTGGGGTCAACTCAGATTTCACATCTTGCAAATGAAGCTGTGGGTTGAATACCATGGATTTTACATCACAGAGCTTTGGCCTTGAAGTCGCGTCATGTGATTTCATACTTCTGAACTCTGGCTCAGATTTCAAATCACTGGGTTTGAACCCATGAAGCTGATATTCCTGGAGTGATGCCAAAGATTGTATACATTGGAGCTTTGACGTTGGAGGCAATTCAGATGTCTTTACCTCTCTCAATTGTTTTGAAGCTTTCAACTCTAGAGCTGTGACACCTTGAGATTGTGGCCCAAGACTTAGCACCGATTTTATAACTTGAAACTCCGGTCCTGGCATCCACTCGATAGTCCTCATACTTCCAAGCTGTGACCCTTGGTAGATCTCTGCAGATTTCCTTTCTTGAAGCTGTGGTTCTGAGGTTGACCCAAAATGTTTCCCTTTTTGTCGATCGGACCCTGGGAACAACTCGGGGGATTTCCCACGCTGTTCCTGTGGCCCAAGATCAAATTTCATAAATTTTTCATCTTGAAGTTTTGGCCCTAAAGTCAATTTAGATGATTTCATACTCCCCGGCTGTATGGAAGATTTCGACCTTGTAGGTTTAATATGTCGAGATCGCGTCTTCAGATTTAATGCTATAGATTTCACACCTTGGAACTCAGGTCCTGGAATCCACTGCAGAGATTTCCTATTTCCAACCTGCGGCTCTTTGTTTAATTCCACAGTTTCCATACCTTGAAGCTGTGGCTCTGAAGTTGATGCCAAAGTTTTCCTGTTTTGTAGCCATTGTCCTGGGAACCACTCAGAGGTTTTCACACACTGTAACTGTGACTTAGGATTAAACTCTGCAGATTTTGTTCCTGGAAGTTTAGGTCCTAAAGTCAGTTCAGATGACTTCACTCTTCCTGATTGTGTGGAAGATTTCAATTCTTCAAGTTTAAAACCTTGAGATTTTGATGCAAGATTTAACCCTACGGAGGTCACTCTTTGGAACTCAGGTCGTGATAGCCACTGAATAGTTTTCATACTCCCAGTCTGTGGTTCTCCGATTAACTCCACAGTTTTCATCTCTTGAAGCTGTGGTCCTGGGGTCAACTTAGGAGGTTTTCTACTTGGCAACTGTGACTCATATTTCAATGCTTTCGCTCTTACATCTTGAATATCTGGTTCTGGAGCCAATTCAAATGGTTTCATATTTTTCAACTGTATCTGGGAATTGAGGTGTACAGATTTCATACCTTTTGATTTGGGCTCTGGAACTAACTCCAAAGACACTATACTGTCTGACTCAAATCCTTTCGTCAGTTGTTCTAAATTCACATGTTTCCATCCCGGTAAGTTTACAAATACCTGGCCATCCTGTCCAGGATCAAGAGTTAAACTCACTGGTGTCACCCCTTGAAATCGTTGCTTTGGGTCTAAATCCACAGATTTTATTCCTTGAAACTGTTGCCTTCTGGTAACACTCACAGATTTTGCCTCCTGCCTCTTCGGCCTTGGGGCCAACTTCACAGATTTTTCACAGTGCAGCTGTGAACCTGGAGTATCCTTCACAGATTTTAAGTTTTGCAGTTTAATTAATGGAGTAATAGTCACGAGTTTCATATCTTGCATTTGTGGCTCTGAAATCAGTTCCTCAGGTTTCATACTTTGCAGTTGAGGCCTTTGAAGAACTTCCTTGGATTTAACAAACTGAACCAATGGATCTGATGGAAAAGCCACAGAATCCCCACCTTGCATCTTTGGCCCAAGTTTCAGTTCCATAACTTTCATATCTTGAACCTTGGTACCCGGGACTAACTCTTCAGTTTTCAAATCTTGAATTCTTGAACCTGGAGTCACCTCCACAGATTTTGAAACTTTTAGCTGGGGACTGGAGGTTAACTCCGTAGATTTCATACCTTCTGGACATGGTCCTGGAGTTAAGACCACAGATTTCTTATCATTCAACTGTGATCCTAAAGGAATCAACTCAGATTTTAAACCCTGAAGCTCTGAACCTGGGGCCAGGTCCCCAGCCTTTATGCCTCTGGTCTGTGGCCCTGGGCTTAACACCATAGATTTGACTTCTCCTGGCTCTCGCTTTGGTGTTAACTTCTTAGATTTCATACCTCCCAAATGTGCCCTTAGGATTAACTCCACAGATGTGTTATCTTCTGGCTGTGGTTCTGAGATCAGCTTCCCAGATTTTAAACCTTGAAACCATGAGACTGGGATCTGCTCCCCAGGTTTTATATCTTCCAGCTGTGGCTCTTGGATCAATTCAGAATATTTCATACCTTGCGACTGTTGCCCTCTGGTCGACTCAGAACAGGTTGCACATGGTAACTGTGTCCCCATCTTCGACTCCATAGATTCTACGTTTGGTAACCGTGGCTCTGAGACTAACTTATAAGAAATGTCACCTTCAAAGCTGGGTACTTGGTTAGCTGTTACATATTTTACATCTTGAAACCGTGATTCTGGTACTAATAACTGTGGTTTAACCCCTTGCCTCTCTGGCTGTGAGGTCAGCTCTAAAATTTTTCTACATTGCAGCGGTGGCCCTGAGCTTAACTCTGAAGACTTCATACTTGGAGGCTGAGTTCCTGGTATTAAATTAAAAATTTTAACATCTTGTAGCCACGGCCCTTGGTGAAGCCCTACTTGTTTCATATCTTGAAAACCAAAGGACATCTTGGCTAATTTGGAATCATGCTGTCCTAACTCCGGAGTCACCACTACAGAATTCACATCATGAGTTTGCTCCCCTAATGTGACATCTTGAAGCTTTGGGCCTAAAACTAGCTTAGAAAAGTTGGTATCTTTCTGCCCTTGGTTTACTTCTTCAGATTTCATGTCTTGAAATTGTAGTTCTGAGGTCAGTATCATAGGTTTGATGCTGTGAAAATGTGATCCTTCAGTAGAGAGCACAGATTTCTTGTCTTCAACTTGTAGTCCTTGGTTTAACTGCAAAGAAGATTCTGTTACAAACTTTACAGACTTTGTATCTTGAAGCTGAGCTCCTGGTTTCAAACCTGAATGCTTTGGCTCTAAAATCAAATCTGAAACTTTTACGTCTTGCAAGCATGGTCCTGAGGTTAGGTCCACTGGAGTCAACTGTGCAGATTTGACACTTGGATATTTGGACCCTGGGATAAAGTCTAACAATTTGATTTCTTGAATTGGAGAACTTGGAGTCCTTTCATCAGGTACCACACCATCATGTGGAGGCCCTGAGATTAAATCCACAGGTTTTTCTCCTTGAAGTGACCCTACAGATAATTTTGAAAATCTGACACTTTGCAATTGTGGCCCTGGAGTCAATCCAGAAGATTTGACACTTGATTTCCCTGGGTCTAGATTTAAATCTACAGATGTCACACTTTGGAGTTCTGCTCCTTTAGTCAATTCTTTCAATAAAACACTTTGTACCATTGCTTCTGGTTTTGGCCTCTCAGATTCTACCCCTCCTCTCCTTGACTGTGGTATTAAATTCACACATTTCACATCTTGCAAATGTGATTCTGGATCAGTCTGCCTAGATTTTACTCCCTGGAGCTGTGGCCCTGGGGTCAATACATCTGATTTCACACTTTGTACCTCTGATCTGGGTATCAAATTCAGAGATTCTTCTATTGTGCGTTGTAATTCTGGAGTCATTACCACTTTTACAGGTGGGAACATAGTCCCAGTAGTGTCTTGGAGTGACGATGGGCTCGTCTCTATAGATTTTGTAGTTTGGCCCAATGGAACTGTGGTAATTCCTAAAGATGATTGTGTCATCCCAACAGATTCCTCCACTTGGTGACAAGTATCACCGGTCAGTTTGGCTACTGTTCCTTGATATTCTAACTCTGAGATCATCCCTAAAGATTCTGAGTCATGATTCCATGGGGTCAGTCCTTCAGGTTCTGTGGCATGGTGATTTTGATCAGGGTTCAACTCTACACATTTTATTGGTTGAAGGTGTGTGCCTGTGATCAGTTCCCCTAATTTCATGCTTTGCACTTGTGTCTGAGGAGTTGAGCTCCTACATTCTATCATTTGAGGAGTTTTCATGTCTTTAAGCAATAGTACTGGGGCTACCTCCTCCAGGCTGGTGTTTTGTAACCATGGCTTTGGGGCCAACTCCACAGATTTTGATTCTTCTAGTGGTGGTCTTAGGGTCACCTGTGCCATTTTTATATCTTGACACTCTGGGGGTAGAGCCAAATGAACACGTTGTACGCCTTGAAACTGTGAACTGGGGATCAAATCCATAGATTTTCTACTTTGCAGCTGTGGTATGGGAGCTAACTCCTCAGATTTTACACTCTGCCATTGAACCTTGGGGACCAAGTCTATAGATTTCACACTTGGGATTGGTTGTTTATAATTTACCATTTGTGGGTCTAAACCTGTGGTTGTGTCTACAGAGTTCATACTTTGCAACGCTGGTTCCAGGATCAGGTTTTTAGATTTTACATTTGGCAATCCAGGGGATAATTCTGTAGAATCTGTAAGCTTAAGTTGTGGTATTGGCTTTGCCCCCATATATTTTACACCTTGAAGCACAGATGGAGTAGTCATTACTGCGGGTTGTGTGACTTCATGCAGTGGCTTTTGGAGCATTCCTGTAAATTCTATACCCTGACCTAGTGATGCTGGGATTGTCTCCAATGGTTCCATTATTTGATGATGTGATTGTGTCAACGGTACAGATTTCTTCATCGGTAGCCATGTGTCAGAAGTCAACCCTGTAGCTTCTATCACTTTATGACTTTGCCTTGGGCTCATCACAGAATTTGCCAGGATTTGATGCCTTGGAGTCAACCTTGAAGGATCTGTGACTTGGTGAGGCAGTCCTGATGCAGACTCTGTGCCTTGATGATATGACGGAGCCACCCCTTCAGCGTCTAGCACTTGAATCTTTAACCCAGAAGTCAATTCCAGGGATTCCTTGCCTTGAGATACTGGCTGAGGGATCAAACCCTCAGATTCTATGACTTGTGACTGTGGTTTTGTGATCATAACCATGGGTAAACCCAGTGCTACTGAGTTTACATTTAGGGAGTGTATGGATTGATGTGATGGTGTTAGACTCTTCCTTGCTTCCATCATTTTTGGTGTTGACTCTGGAGGTAAACTCACAGATTCTACAACGCCTAGTGGAGCAATAGCAGTAGAAGAGCTAGTAGAAGTCAAAACATCTGACTGAGTTGTCCTTGGGGTCAAATTTGCAATTTGAGATTGGGAACCTGGGCTCAAACCCCCAGATTCTATATCATGTGTCTGTGCTGGTGGAATCTCCGTGAAACTCATCGTTTGTAAGAGTGCCACTGGAGTTACTTTCATGTAATCAATGACCTGATGTGATGGTATTGAGGTCATTTCCAATGATTCTGAGTTTTGATGTATTAGGTCTACAGCAATCTTTACTTGTTCCATGGATTGACTGTGTGACCCTGAAGTCGTACTCACTGATTCCATGACTTTGTGTTTTGGCCTTGGGGCCTTTTCCACAGTTTCCATGACTGCGTGTTGTGGCATTGGACTCATCTTTCCTGGTCTAATGGCTTGCTTCATGGACTCTGTGGCTTGATATTGTGGCCTTGGGGTCATTCCTAGTGGTTCTATGATACGTGGATATGATTCGTTAATCATTCTTTTAGAAGCCGTGACTTGAAGCAATGCTAGAGGAGTTATCTTCACATTATCTACGACTTGATTTAGCCTTGAAGCCATCCTATTTGGTTCCACAACTTGTTGCTGAGTCTTTGGAGTCACTTCCACTGATTCAGTTATTTGATTTGGTGCTTTGGGAGTTACATGCATTGCCTCCATGACTTCCACTGGCTTTACAGCTTGATTTGGTGCCTGTGGGAAGAAATCTGCAGATTCCATCACTTGTAAAGGTGATTCTGGAATCAAGCCCATTGAATCCATGACCTGAAGCAACGCCAATGGAGTTATCTTTATGTTATCTGTGACTTTATAAGGAAGCTTTGGGGTCCACTGCATATCAGTCACTTGTGTACTTGAGATAAGTGACTGGGAAATTCTTGTTTCTGTCCTATTTAATCCAGATGGAAGGTCTGGGGACTTATTGTTGATATTTTGCTCAGTGCTTTGATGAGTGAGTGTAGATAACTGAGTCTGGGGGTTCTCTAGTTCATGGGCTCCTCCTGGTACTTCAATCAAATAATTCAGCATTGCCCATGATTTCTTCACAGGCACAGGCACTGTTTGTTCCTGCAAAGTACAAACCTTCCAAGACATATGTCCTTCTAGCTCCCCTCTAGCCAAAGGAGAGAGCCGGGACAGAGCCCACCCTGGGAGTTGTAGTCTTTCATTCAAAACAGAATTTGGCCCATGATCTAATAACAAATGATTCCTTCTCCTTCTCTTATTTTTTGTTTTCTTTTCTTGTTTGCAAACATTTGGGGGTTCAAACATGGAGTCAATAAAAGAGTTATGTGGTGGTAAGTGTGAAAGAGCTTCCAAATTCTGAAGATGTTCTGGGTGCTCAGACTCTGACAGCTGAAAAGGTGACAGAGATGTGCCTTGGTTCCTGAACACAGCTGTTTGCTTTCTGTGGGAAACAGGCAAACTATTGCTCTGAAATTGCCCAGTTGTCCCCTCAAAGAAGGCAGAAGGGTAAGACAGGCTGGAGCTATTGCTTGATGATCCAGAAGAGATGCTGTGATCGCTGGAATATGCTGCCTTCTCACAGACACAGCAGGGTGGAGCAGCTTCCTGAGCCTCAAGAAGAGAGGTGGTGGAGGAAGTCACATCCTGCAATTCAGGCAAATCCAGTTCCATAAGACTTAATCTAAGAAAGAAAGAGAAAGTTTCTATTTGCTTTTGAGTAGGAAAGGGGGGAAGAAAGAACAGGAAAAAGAGAGACAGTGTCCTTTTCAAATGCAAAATATTTTTGGCCTGAGGGAGAGTTGAAAAGAACAAAAAAGTTACTTCCCCCAACACCAGATAATCCTGCAAAAAATTCCTACACTGGGCAAAGGGAGGCAACTATTCCTGAAATGATACTTCAACCAAATCGTACCCAGGATTTCCCCACTGCTACTTTCAGCTGGCTGTGGGGCACACACCTGTACACACCACACACCTTCTGGGAAGCTGAGGCCAGAGAATCCCAAGTTGGAGTTTAGCCTTGATTTAGTGAGATCCTGCTTCAAAATAAAAACTTTAGCACTGGGGTGATGCACTCCTGTTATCTCAGCACTTACGAGGCTGAGACAGGAGGATTGCCTCAAGTGCGAGGCCAGCCTGGGCTACACAGTGAGTTCAAGTCCAGCCTGAAGTACATAGCAAGACCCTGTCTCAAAAAACAAACAAAACAACACCAAGTAAAACAAAAAATTGATTAATTAATTAAAAATTTTAGGGGCTGGGATGTAGCTCAGCGATGCAGCACCAGCCTGGCAAGTGCAAGGCCATGAGTTTGATTCCCGGTACCAAAAAAAAGTTAAAAAAAAAATTTAAAGGCTGGGTATGTACCCTAGTGCAAAGGCTCTCAGTTCAATCCCCAATACCAGAAAAAAAAAATTATCTTTTCCCCCTTTACTTCCCTCTTCTTTTTTTTTTTTTTTTTTTTTTTGG